GTGTTGTGCTCTCAACACCATTACTAGGCCAAAGAGTCCTGCCATGCAGCAAAGGAGTAGCATGTGGGAAGAGAGAGGAGGACTGAGAAGAGTAAAAAAGCAGGACCTTAATGGTGATGGGAAAAAATCAAGGTGCAAGCTCTGACAGTCCCATCCTGTGTGTTCATGTGTGTGTGTGTGTGTGTGTGTGTGTGTGTGTGTGTGTGTGTGTGTTTACAAGTGTACATGCATCTGTTAGGGATTCCAAGTTCTTTCCAGTCAGTCAGTACTGCTTTTCAGGGAACAGGCTCTACTCATGGGCCTAAACTCAATGCTGAAAATAAACCTTAGACTTGGTCTAACTATTCTCTGTTTTGAAGTTAAGAGATACCTGCCCAGCACTCCCTCCAGAAGAATGTCAGAATCAGGCCACATATTTCCTGGAAACATGAGCTTACCTCCCCTTGAGGCAGTCTGTTCTTTCTTTGGAAGGAAGCAACTGTTAACCAGCCTTGTTGACAAGCCAGGTTGAGATCCTGTGCAGACTTCTCACCAAAAATGACTACACAGGGCTGTTACGATAAACTGGTTTCAATTTAAAGATAAAAAGGGAAGCTCATGCCATTTAAGTCCCTAAATCAAGAGCACAAAAGCAGTAAAAATCCTGGGAGGTTTGAACCCAGGGTTTTCTCACTATGAAATCCTCTGGGAATAAATTAAGATATGCCTCTTTACTTTCACCATAATAACTTTTCTGAAGTCTGAAATCAGGAAACACATCTTTCCAAGTCTCTTCTTCTCTAGCAAAACTTGAGTTCCAGTCTCCTCACAGCCTGATTAGTGTGTTGCCCTAGAGACAGAATATGCCAGGTGGTTTTGTACTAGTCCAGAATAGTGAACTATTACATGTTACCTTGGCACTGACCTTTAATGATGCAGTTCTATGGCTGTAGAAGCTGAAAACTGTTTTCTTAGGCTTCCATTCCCACTTGAATTATAAATAAGAGAAAAGAGGCCAGGGTTTTATCCCATCTCTACCCTTCCTCTCAGTAGGGATGCCTTGAATTTATAAATGGGAAGGACAAGGTTAGGGACAGGAGAAATCAGATCCAGGAATGGGCACTGTCAAGATTTGGAAGGATAGCCTGTGGGGGATAGGGGAGAGGAAATAGGTGAGGCAGTTTTCCAAGCTAGGGCAAGAAGGCTCAGGGGAGGGATAGGTAAGGGCTTTGGGTGAGTACACACTGGGAAATAGTGAAAGGGTGGGGCATGGCCCCAGGGGTGGGAGAAACCAGGTTGGGGAAGGGATCAGCCAGCCTAAGTTAAAGCTGCCTTGCTGTGCAGAGGAAGTTGGTAGCACATTAAGAAATGTCACAGCTAGACTAAATTGGGAGGTGTCATAGGCAGGAGTGAGGACAGGTATGATTAGTGGGGCCCTATGTGGCCTGAAACAGGGGCAAACATTGCAAAGGGTGAAAATGGAGTTTACCCATTAAGAATCTGACTGAGACATTCAGGACAGGGACCCAGTAATGGTGGCTATCTGGTTCTGGAACACAGATTCCAGTCTTGTTTCTACAAGCAGAGGAAATTTCCTTACTCTGGCACAGAGCAGAGGACTCTACATGTAGGAGACTCTCTAAGAATGAGGCATCACATCCTAGGAAGCCTGTTTGGGTCCAGGACACTATGAGAGGGCTAAGTGTGTAGGGTCAGCCTAAGTGAAACATAGAAACAGTCTAGGCTGGTTAAAGAAACTTTGGTACATCTACACAATGGAATACTATGCAGCTGTCAGGAGAGATGAAGTCATGAACTTTGCTTATAAATGGATAGACATGGAGAGTATCATGCTAAGTGAAATGAGTCAGAAAAAGAGGGGCAGACATAGAAGGACTGCACTCATTTGTGGAGTATAAACAACATAACATTAGGCTGACACCTAAGGAGAGTAGATACATGGGACAGGTATATTGCTCCATAGCCTGAAGCCTGCCTCATAAGCAAAGGGGAGAAGGCAGCTGGAATAGAGAAGGGATCGCTGAGAAAAAGATGGCTGGACGAATTAGTCGGGATGGGAGATGTATCCAGAAAGTGGATAAAGGATCAAACATGATAACCTCTGAGGGTCTGTACTGCAAACCATAATGCCCAAAAGTAGAGAGAGATTATAGGAAAACATGTCTTCCATGGAGGCAGGGGGAGGGTGGGAAAGGGGGGGTATACCAAGGATATTGATGGTGGGGAATGTGCACTGGTGGAGGGATGGGTGTTTGATCATTGTGTGATTTTAACCCAAACATGAAAACTTGTAACTATCTCACGGTTATTCAATAAAATTTTTAAAAAGTCAAAAAATAAAACCAGTATAGGATAGTAGTGGGTGATGGGTTAAAAGGAGTCTGCAGGACGAAGGAGAGAAGGGCTATCTATTGCTGGATTAACCATAATTCAGTAGGATGGAGAGCTCTGAATCTAGGTCTCAGTTGAGAAAGAGTCCATTAGAAGATAAGTAGGAAAGACAGGATGAAAGAAGTAGAGCTGGCATCCCATTTCTCTGGGCATAGCAATAAAGGAGAACAGATAAGGTTTATTGGCAATCTGAGAGCCATAGTGACAAGAAGACAGAGAGAAGGGCCCTGGCCCTGGCTATCAGGAAGTTGATGGGAAGCCATGGCAAAAGCAGGGTCTTAGCACCCATACAGGTGGGTGGGAAGTCTGGCACACATACTCATGCTTGAGTGATTGTAGAGCAAAGTACTTCATTTCCTTATAACTCAGCATCCTTACCTGTAAAATGGGGGTAATGGTGCATTTCTGATCTCATAATATATGTGAGAGAGGTTGAAAATCCTAAGCATTACATTAGGAGCTGGTATTATATCATTACAGGTTTTTCCTGCCATCTGAAAGCACAATGCTCCTATCTGATATCATTTGGTAGGTTATGATTGTGGTAAGGAATTGCTCAACAAATTCCCACCGAAATCAATGGTAATAGTATTTTCAAGGCCCCAGACTCACCTATCTGGATAGTGGAGGAAAAACCTGTATCATAAAATACAATCAGCTACTCCTTCCTACTTAAATATCACAGAATACTCTGAATGTAGGCAAAGCAAGACTATCTTTTAAAAACAAATAAAGAGATCTAGTCTTATTCAGATAATTTGACATGCCCAAGGTCACACTGCTTAGCAAGTGGTAGAAGTTGCGGTAAGCCTCTTGGATATGAGACTTCTTTGTCTGTCTTACATCAAACTGCTTGGTAAAAACAATCAACATGAGGGACTGTTACTTAGTGCAGGATCTGAGTTTGATGCCAATTTTAACATGGAGAAATACCTATGGGAAAGTTGTGGCATGGTCCCTCATTCATTCTGATGACTGGGAGAGCAATAATCAGCTGGAGTCAAGAATCATATTCCTGACCTCCCAATGAATGTGGCTAGCATGAATGATGTCTCTATTGCTGTGTGGCAAAATATGTCCTTTCATGTGACAGTACTTCTGCTGGTGCATGCCTGATACAATGGGGAAATGTGCTTGTGTGTGTGTGTGTGTGTGTGTGTGTGTGTGTGTGTCTGCTTTCCTGGCACTGCATGCAGGTGTGATGACTCTGTGTATCTCTGTGTGACTTTGCCCTGGGTGGTGGTGGTGTAAGGATGTGTGCATGTGTGTGTCTATCTGTCTGTACACCTTTAAGAAGTGGAATATCTCATTTGGTAGTGTGAGTGAGGCAGTGAGTCAGCTGAGGCTGAGGGAGGCGGGAGGGGGACTGCTAGGTTACGAGAACAGGAAAAGGAGACTGAGAAAGTGAAGTCAGGAGCAAGAAGCTGCCCATTTCCTCCCCAAGCCCCTACCCAAATCCCTAAGCAACCAGCCAAGAACATGGAAACCTGCAGAAGTTCCAGGGGTTGTGCAGGGTAAAAAGGGGCACTTCCTGCCCTTCCTCAAATTCTTGAAGGTAGATGAGCTACGCTAGGAAGCAACTGTTTCTAGCTTTCAGCCTGCAGCCCTCAGATGGGTGAGGCAACTACCCCACCTGTTCTCCTTGGCACTTGACCCTTTGACCTTGCTGTTCTTCTTCCTCTCAAATGCAGCAGACCTAACCAGGCCATAGAATTGGGGCAGAAGCAGCACATCCCCAATGTTTACAGTCCTAAGATACCTCTTGTCCAGAACGACCCTCGTAAGGGTCACAAAGTTTCTCAGCACTCAGTCCTTCCCTAGACAAGCCACTTATGCAGCACCCTTCCCATGTACTCTGGATGCCTGTCTCCAGCAGCCAGCCCGAAATCTGGCTCTCTCTCTCTCTCCATTGCTATCTTGGACATCAGTGAGAAGGCACTGGGACATGGGTAATGCACTAATCTCCCACAAGCCACTCTCTCCAGCCCCATGTGTTGTCAGGAGAGAGGATCTGAATGGCAGGTTTCCTTCTTGGGAGAACAGATACCCCTAAACTCCACAGGCCTAGGCTCTGACTTGTCACCTCAGGTCACATAAGGTCAATATATTGGTGTTCCTCACCACCTACTCTGCCCCTCCCCTCCCCTCTGGCAGAGGCCTAAGGATGAGAGTTAGGTGGCCGAACATTCCACCTCCACCCTAGGCCTTCCCCCTGCACCAGCCAGTCCTAAAACTTTCAGTGGAGGCCCAGGCAAGAGAAAAGGCATCGGTGGCTGAGAATGAAGGCTGAGGAAGCTAACTCCCTCTTTTCACGGATATCAGCACTGGGTCCTGCGACCACACTGTACTCAGAGTGGTGGGACATATGGGATACATAGGGTGCTCTAACTCAGAGTAGAAGTTGAACAGGGTTTCTCAGACTGGAGTGCCGGAGGCCTCTTCTCCACAGAGGGTTCTGAGACAGGGCAGGGCTCAGCTGACAATTCTGGGGGTGACTGGAAAAGGAGTGAGGAAAGGGAACCTGCTTTTATACTCCAGGTCTTCTCCCACGGACCCCACGCTCCCAAGGCAGCCGGTGTGGCCACAGTCAGACTAGCAGCAGTCCCTACCTTACAGCCTTTCGTGCAGGACCGGATTGAGTACTCTTCTGCCTGTAGGTATTTATGTAGCACGAGGTCGAACTCGTCATATTTTTCCTGAGCATGTCGGTCGAGCCGCTGGTAAGCCTCGATACAGTTGCTACACACCTCCCAGGCTCCGGAGCCCGGGTTGGCCACTACCGCCAGCAGGTCCCCCAGCATGGTGTCCAGGCTGCAGTCCAGGCTGTCGGGGCGGTCCATGCCCAGCAGCAAGTCCCAGACCGTGTAGGTGTCACAAAAGGAGAGAGTGAAGTTCCGAAAGTGACCTTTGAGCAAGTTTTTTTTGGCGGTGGGAAATGTGGCTGGGATGCGGGGAGGTGAGTCAGGGGGCCGCAGAGGAGGAACTGGGGTGGTGGGTTCAAAAAGTCTCTGCAAGGATTGCAATTTGGTGCAAGCTGCGTCCAGCCCCGTGGGCTCGGGGGCGCCGCCGCAGTCCGGCCCGGGACCGGCGGCGGGGGCGGCTTTGGTCAGATTGCTGTAACGGGGGCCGCAAGTGCCTGGGCGCGCGCCGGGCTCGCTGGGCGGCGGCGGCGGCGGCGGCAGCGGCAGCACCGCGCGGGGAGGCGCCGGCCGCCTCTCGCGGCCGGTCCCCCACGGCGGCCGCAGGGCGCTGCTCAGCTCCCTGGCCCGGGGCCGGGCCCCAGCGCACAGCCACAGATGGTCAGCGAGCAGCACGGTAAAGAAGAGCAGGGACGCCAGGGACAGTCGCCATCGCTGCGCCCGCTCGGAGTCGGCGCAAGGTTTGTCGCTCGGCCTGGGAGCCCAGCAGCAGCAGCAGCAGCAGAGAGTCAGCGCGGCAGCGTCTTTCCCGGGCCACATCCAAGCGCCCCTGAACATATTTCAGGGGGGTCCGGGCTGGAGCGAGCAGGCGGGCTCGGGGCCAGACGGCCGTCTCCAGCGGGCAGGCAGGCTGCGCGCCGCTCCGCGCTCCTCGGCGCCGTCCAGGCTCTATCTCGGTGGCTGCATGGCGAAACCGGGAAGCCTTCTCAGGCTGGAGTGGCGGAGCGCTCTCCTGCCGGCCCCGCGCCCCTCCCGCTCCCTCGCTCCCGGCCCGGGCGCGGCCGCTGGCCCGCTAGGCGCTGCCCGGCGTCCCGGCGGGGGGCGGTGCGGGGCGCTGGGGCGGTGGCGGCTGCGGCGGCGGCGCCGCGCTCCTCATAGTGTCGGGGCCCTCGGCTCCGCGCGGCCCCGGGCCACTCTACTCGGCCCCGGCGGCCGCCCGGCTCGCACTCAGTTCCGGCCGTCTCAACGGGGCGCAGCTCTGCGCCCCTCAGCGCCGCCGTGCGGGCCCGGCCGCCGCGCTCCGCGCCGCTCCGCTCCCTCGCCCCGCGCCGCCGCGCCGCGCCGCTCCCGCCCGTCTGCCGCCCGCTCCGCGCCGCTCCCCGCCGCTCCCCGCCTCGCTCGCACTGTCCTCGGCCCTCCGGCCGCCTCGCCGCCCGGCCCTCGGGGCTGCTCGCGCGCTCCGGCCGCTCGCCAGAGCCAGTCCCCGGCGGGCTCCGCTCCGGCTCCGCGCCCGCGGCTCCCAGAGTTCCGGCTCGGGCGGGCCAGCCACCTGGCTCCCGGCAGCGCCACAGGCGCCGGACGCCGACGTGGGGCGTTAGTTAGTGAGCCTCTCGCTTCCGCCTCGGGTTCGCACCGCCGTGGCAGCGACCGAGCGGCACGGCCCGGTGGCTCCCGCTTGCCATGCCCCCTCAGTCTGTCGCCATCTTCCGCTGTGCGGAGAACACCTTGAGAGCCCGTGTGCGAGTGTGTTTGGGGGAAAGCGGGGCGGAGAAAGAGGCACGAAGAGGAGGAGGGAGCGGGTTTGGGGCCCCGACTGCGCCTGCGCCTCAGGACTGCCCCCCACCCCCAGCCCCCGCTGGCCGCAGCCTGTGCTGTTTGGGGATGTTTCCAGTCCACCCCCAACTCCATTCACTTTAGCGCCTCCGTGCATCCGCCTGCCCCCCGAGTGCACGCGCCACACGCTGAGTCCCCGGCCCCGGCGCTGGCCATCCGCCACCAACCCGGGTGTTCTTCCTCCCCGGGGCCACTCACTCCTCCTGAGGGACAGGGGAGTTCTGAGGGTGATTCTTGGGGTCAGGATGAGGCTTCGTTACCGTCTGGCTGACTCCCCGGGTCGCCTCCGCCGTCCCGGACCCCGTGACTCGGCGACGCCGGAGCTGGCTGCGGATGGGAACAGTCCCATGCCCCCAACTCTGCTGTCGCCCTCGCGGTCCTGTCGGAGGCCAAGGTGGCCCTTGGTCCTGAAGGAGAGCTCCCACTGTACCCGCGGGAGAGGACAGAACTAGGAAAGAGACCTGGAGTGGGCAAAACAGTGATCTAGGATGGGTAGAAGTGATAGGGAGTCGTTTCTGCCCTTAGGAAGCTTTTCAGCAGCCTTTCCCGGTCCCTGCCCCCTAGCTCCCTCTACAGGCAGCTGGGAAGAGCTGAGCAAGAGTTCGGGAAGCTGCGCCGCCTGGATGAAACCATGTGCTTGGGGCCTCACAGAGTCACATGGCATTAGGGAACTCAGATGTACAAAATGTCCTGCAATGCTGCTAACCTTCTTTGGATCTTATCGCGTCCTTTCCTCACTCCGTCCCAATCCCAGTAGCTCCCACATTCTAGTTTGTAAACAGCCTTTACCTGAAGGTAATAGCCTTTATTGAGTGTACACTAGGTACTGGGTAATGCTCTAGGCTCCTTCCATTCATTACTGTATTTAATCCTCACAAGTATCTCAGTGGCTCCAATATTATCTTTATATACATAAAAGGAAGCAGACTTTTAGAGTGGTCAAATTGCCTAAGGGCACACCATTAGACCCTAATGAATGTAATACAGAAACCCAGTCAGTTTAATTCTCAAGTTCTTAATATTCCAGGAGAGCCCTGCAAAGAGAGAGGGATGGAAGACCCACTACTCTTTTTTTTCTGTTTCCAATTTTTTAAAAAATATTATTATTAGTGAAATACCATGAGGTATAATTGTAGACTTACAAATTTTTGTGCTTGGGTTTTAGTTATATAATGATCACATACCAATCCCTCTACCAGTGCCCATTCTCCACCATCAATGATCCCAGTATCCCTTCCACCTCCCAACCCTCCCATCCCACCCCATCTCTGCGCAGGGCATTCCCTTTTGTTCTCCTTTTGGGTGCTGTGGTTTGCAAAAGAGGCATTGAGTGGCAATCATGTTCAAAGACCCACTACTCTTAAAGGAAATTACAGTCTAGAGGATAAAACAGGCATATGTATTGGTTTGTTGGAGGATGTATGACTGGAGACTTCGGCTCAGGTTCTACCACTGCCTGTGTCATGTGCATGAGAGAATCCTTTCTCTCTGAGTCTTGCTTTCCCACTGAGTGATGCCAGGCAACACCAGGGTCTAAATTAGATGGGTTTAAATATCACTACTCTAAAGTGGTATAGGGTAGAGGGCTGCCTGAAAGGCTTCTCGAAAAGGGATAATTTGAACTGGTTCCTAAAGAAATTCCAGCGCAGTTAGCCTGGTAGGAGGAATGTTAGTGAAAGGTTTCAGGAAGGTGGAGAACTTCATATGGCTGTGAAACCACTCTAAAATTGAATCTACTAGTGGCCAGGGCTTATGGGGAAGAGGGTACAGAGAAAAGACAAAACTGCCAGGCATTGAGGAAACCTGTTCACTCATTATGTTTCAAGTGTTATGTGAGGAATAGGTCGGGGCTGAGAGAAGTTAGATGTTAACCTGTCCTCAAAATGCTTTAAGTTTAATTAGGGGGGCAGAGATGTTGAAGAAGAAATTTAATCCCAGTGCAATAAGGGTGTATTGGAGAAAGTTTTTCCTCCACAAAACAAGGGGATAATCAACTCTTCGGTTTTGCACATAGCCACTTGAATTGGGGACAGAAAATATTTATTGAGGATCTATTATGTTACAGATGTTGTATTCTACATCAGAGAGATAGGCACTAGGTTAATACGTATCTTGGGCTGAGGGAGTTTAGTTGATGTCTTAAGTGATGAATAAAAACCATCAGGACAGCTGGCTAGGAAAGAAGGTGGAATGTGAAAGAAGTCCTATGCAAAATGGAATGCTGTGAGTAAAGCTAAGCCAGAAGGGCATATTCAGAAACCTGCAGAATAGTTCCTTGTGACTAGGTGTGAAGTAGGAGTACTGCCAAAATTGAGAGTGAGTATTTGGCAGGAGCCAAATCATTAAAGACCCTAGGCACCATAATAATTTGGAATTTATTCCAAGGGCACTAAAAGCCATAGAAAAGGTTGAAAGGTTTTCAGCAGGAGGTGACAGAATCAAATTTGCAATTTTTAGAAGATTGATTCCTCTGCAGGATGGAGTCTGGATTGGAGGGCAAAGAGGGAGGGCAAGATAAGAGCTATGGAGACTGGTAAGAGTTCAGGTAAGAGGTATTCATCCTGAACAGAAAGAGCAGCAGTAGAGGGGAGAAAAGAAATACACATGGGAAGAAATGCACTTGGCAGAGATTCACTTAAAAGAAATTCAGGACTTATCTAGATGTAAGTAATAAAGTAGGGGCTTAGATAAGGAAGTAACCACCAACGGGTTTGAATTAATTGTGCCGGTTCTTCTAGGAATCACTGCCCTTGCTCTGGAATGGCCGTTTTCGCAGAGCAATTTTTATTTAGTCCTTGGAGGGTTTCAGTGTTATTTTAAAAAGAAGGGTAGATGCTTACAGATATGTGGTTCAGAGCTGATTGGCAGGATCCCAGTGATTGACACCCTTGCATGTCAGTTGTGCACACATATGGAGCTTTCTGTAAGAATTAACTCAGGTGTGAACACCTTTCTTTTGTTCCTCCATACACATGGAGAATAGTATCTTACAAAGTTCCATTTTAATAGAATATAACATAGGGGTAACTTATCTACATAGCACACATTGCACACAAAGGAGAAATAAAAGCATGTCAGCTCTCAGAGAAAGTTCTCATTCACTCCTCATGGCATAAAACATTAGGATTGTGAAAGGGAAAGTGCTAGCCTCTTGTTGGGGAGTGGTACAGAATAACTAAAGTAAAGGTGAAAGATGCTGCTCCACAGAGGTGGTGGGCCCTGGCCAGCTTTATGCTCAGCTCAGTCCTTTCTTTCTACCTGCTTTTGGGTTATCAGATGCTCAATTCAGAAGAAAATGGGTCATTTCTGAGAGTACCCAGGTGGTATAGGAAGAGTAATAGGGCAACCTCTACTCAGGTGCAGGAAAGATAATCTGGAATATAGGGAGGAGGATGAAGTTTTCCAAACTGATATTATGATAATAATAATAAAGGAAAAATCTGGGAGCTGTTTAAAGAGGCCAGTGTTACACAAGAAGCTTTCTGTTAAAGTCTTCAGTTAAATGGTCATGGGCAAAAGTGGAAAGAAGAGCAAATAAATGAGGGTAAATCTAAGAACCTAGAAGAAAAGTGTGAGGATGGCTAAAGCACAATTTGAAATAAAGTTTGTGATGTCCTATCTGGATCCCATCTTTATTCCCCCATCAATATAATTTATTTAGGGCCTGCTATTGGGGCAGGCTTGGGTGGTGGTTGAGAAAATTCTAAATCATAATGGTGGGATTAGTGTTGGAATATTGAATGTAATAAACCATCATGAACAATTTAAAAAATAAAATTTTAAAATATTTATAAAAAGCCCAGAAGCCAAGGTGAAATAAATTCCACCATTGTCCCCACATCCTAATGATAGGCTTTCATTATTCGCTTTTCTTTCTGGTCTTGTGTCCTTAAGAGAGATGTTATAGGGCAAGAGATGTGTTTCCTGTGGTAGAGGACATGGTTAGCACTTGTTGGATCACTAGCAGCCTGTGGCCCTCACCCTGAGCACCATTGAATATAGTCCTGGTG